CCCCCCCCCTCCCGCCCCGGTCTCTGATCTGCTAAGCACAGAAGCAGCACCCATGGGGGCTACAGGACCACGTCCTTGGCTGGTGCTCAAGTACAAAAGGACTGAAGACGCAGAGCCCGGCGGCTACGGATCACGCTCTGGAGCCTCAGGGACGTGACTTCCGCCCTGGCTCTGCCACGTACCTGCTACGGGACCCGGGGCAAGGTGCCTCACCACTCAGAGCCCTGGTTTCCACATCTTCAAGATGGATATTAAGTTGTCACGTGTCAACACACTCAGTTGGCAAGTGTGGCAAAATGACCACTCTAGCGACCGTGACTTCTGGGGGCCAGATACTGTGTGAGGCGCCCTACCTGTGCAGCCTCATGGAATCCCCATGACCACAGTCATTCCTATCTCTGCCGTGCGACAGCCAGCTGGCAGAGCCTGTGCCCTCCCGTGTTTCAGCAGCGATCAGGCCGGTGACACCTTGGCCACAATCAGGATTGCTGGGTGCATGGGTCACATTCCCTGCTGGTCTGTGTGCAGTGTGAGCCAAGGGATCCTCCTCCTTCACTAGGACTGGGCTGGGGCACCACTCAGGAAAGGCCCCTTCACCTACTGCCCCTCCCCAGGGCCACTCACCAGAATGGTCGTGACCACCAGTGTCTTGTTGGCCAGTGTCTGCGACAGGTTGATGTCCAGGGTGGTGGCGTTCATGGCCAGGGTCCGGTTAGAGTACCATACCCCGATCTGGGGCAGAGAAGGTACCATCAGCACACGCCGGCCCTGCCCCCACCCCATCAGGACTCTGGAGCGTCCCCGGGTCTGCTCACCTCACGGTGGCCTTGCCGGGACTTCTCCAGGATGCGCAGGGTGTAGTTGGTCCTCTGCCCTTTGCTGTTGAACTCGACCCGCCCGGTCAGCCCGTCATACTCTACCTAGCAGGGCGGGAGGCGGGCAGAGGGAAGGGTGGCAGGGGCCCAGACATAGGGCGGGAGAAGCCCAGAGAGGTGGAGACAGAGAAGAAGGAGACAGAGAAGAAGAAGAGAGGGAGAGGGACCAGGAAGGACCGCGGTTAAACGAGAAAGACAACACGCCAGCAAAAGAAAGGAGATGGGACAAAGATGCAGGGGGAGGGCAGTGCAGACAGGGAGAGGGAGGTCCAGAGGGGAGAGATGGAGGAGAGGAGGAGGAAGAGGCCCAGAGACAGCAGGAGGTGGGTGGGGTTGGTAGCGGGGGAGAGGGCAGAGGGGCCACAGGGTGGACACAGTTAGTGTCCCAGCCTGAGAAGGACGGCCCTGCCCCCTCGGCCCTCCCCGCTCCCAGCTCACCATGCGCAGGTAGTTCATGAGGCTGGTCCCATGGGGCCAAATATTGGCCGATGTACAGGCCAGCGGCTTCACACCGATCTCTTGGCTGCGGTTCAGCTCCCGGACGGCACTCACCACCACGTGCACGGCGTCAAACATCAGGGCCGCCGACAGCTGGGGTGGGGGGCAGAGGTAGAGCGAGGATGAGGAAGAGGCAGCTCAGGCAGGGGGCCCCAACACCCCCGTGGTGCTACCCACAAGCCCTCAGACAACTCCCGTCTCTCCAGGAGCATGAAACGGTGCAGGTCGGCAGTGAGGACCGGCCTCTGAGTGTCTTTCTCAGGGAGTCAGGTGGCAGCAGGAAAAACGTGCATGCTGCCCGTAGCCTTGTGGGAATAGCTCCTCCTGAATCATGCAGCCCTGCGTCTGTTTGGGGACGGGCTGGATGGCCAGCCGCGTCACCTCCACAGGGGGATGCTGGTGGGTCTCAGGGTGTGCCCGGGAATCCGCATCAGCGTGGCTGATGCAGGATGCAGGGTGTGGGAAGAGGGCCACAGCCTGATTATGGCTGGGCGCACGTGTGTGGGGGCTGGACGAAAGTGCCTGTTTGTCTACACGCAAAGTGCCAGGGTGGGCGTGGCATCTAGGAGGCAGGCGAGCATAAGGGCTGTGAGCCTGCGCCTGGGAAGCAGGCGGCTCTGAGCTGGAGACCCGGCTCTCCTATTTCCTACGGGAGGCCCAAGTCCCCACCCTGCTCGGAACCTCAGTGTCCTCCCGTGTAAGATGGGGATGATTGTCATCTCTGCCTCCACAGGCTAACGTGGGTACCAAAGAAGGTAATACATGTCAGAGTTCAAAACTGCCCGGCACACAGTGAACGCTTGATACAAATTGGGCACCGAGCTGTGACTGAGGACATGGGACATCTGTGTGTGTGTGTGTGTGTGTGTGTGTGTGTGTGTGTGTTTGTGGGAGTGTCTTCGCTGGGTTGGTGTGAAGGTCTGAATATCTGTGTTGTGTAGACAGCTGCAGGGGCACACACAAATGTACCTCTACCCACGTTATGTCTGCACCGCCTGACTGCATGGCTCAGTGTCCATGTGCGTTTCTATGCGGTAGGAGTGCCTTGGTATCTTGGCACAGGACTAAACGTCTGTGAACAAATACACCTAAGTGTGTACCTTTTGTATGTTTGCGTTTATTCAACATATATTATTGGACACCTACCCTGGGCCAAGCTGATTTAGGTGCTGGTGATACAAAGGTGAAGAAAACAGAAAGAAAACCCTACACTCATGGAACTTACGGTCTAGATATCCGTATCTGTACCTAAGCAAAACACAGAGCATTAGATATGCAAGGACAGGTACTGTGCAGAAAAATACAGTACGGAAGGGAGCTGATTAGCAGGGAGTTTCTCGTTTTTATGGTGGGGACCAAGGAAGGTCTTATAACTGAGGGAGTGTTTGAGCAATGACTTGTCAATGAGGGAGTGAGTCACTAGTTCTCTGGGGAAGCACATATGAAGCAGTGGGAGAAGCAAGTGCAAAGGCCCTGGGGTGGGCATGTGCTAGGGCCATAGAGGCACCTGGAGGAGGCCAGTGTGGCTGGGGCAGCCTGGGAGGTACAGAGGAGGAAACAGATCAGACTTATCTTGGGGCCACAATGTGAGGCCTCACAGTATGTACTTGGAAAGCGAGTGGGGGCGCTGGAGGGTTCTGGCACCATCTCACCAAAGTACAGAAGAAGTGCTCACCGCGGGACCTGGATAGGTGCTGGCTTCACAGTTCTCCCTCCAGGACATGTTGAGGCTGCGCACAAACTCGGGGTAGAAGGGATGTGAGGTGTTAAACATGGAGAAGCCCAGGATGTTGGAGGTGTCCTCCACGATCCCGTCCAGGTGCAGGATGGGGAAGTCCTGGGGCCAAGAAGAAGGGGTGAGGCCAGGGGCCAGGCCCCACATGGGGCAGACACCCTGGGAGGGGGGTGGGGGCCGGGGGGGCCGCGTTGGGGTACGCACCATGGTGGTGAGGATGTATTTGTAAAACGCTGAGGTCATTCCCAGCTCTGAAGCCTGGAGGACATGGGGCAGCACAGAGGCGACAGGAGGGGCGGAGGCCCACAGGCAGAAGCGAGGAGACGCCAAGAGAGGAAGAGAGATTTAGAGACAGGCCTAGTGAAGACACCCATGGGAAACACAGTAACAGACACCCAGAGACGGAGACAGGGAGAAGGAGCTGCGCGGGGGCAGAGGGAGACCCTGCTCCCTGATGCTGCACCAGTGGACAGGCGACCTGGAGGAGAGAATGGCACCCCCAGATGCCCGCATCCCCCTGGAGGGCACTTACAAGACTGCCTTCTGGAGACAGACAGGCAAAGGGACGCCTTAGAAACAGGACAGGCTGGGAGGGTAACCTCAACTTTAAGCTTCTCCCCGTGCTGCCCCAAAGCCAAGTTGGGGCTGCTACTATGTGGGGCCCAGCTTGGTCACAGGCCAGATAAACCGCCCCCTGCCATCTTTACAAGCACTTCGCAGCGAAAGGCAACCGACTGGAATCTCAAAATGCCTGTTTGGAGCCCCTTTCTTCACAGTCCTTGAGGCAAACAAAACTAGAAGGCCTCTCCTGCCACGGTGTCCGAGCCTGTCCCCGCTACGGTCATTAGAACATTACATGGCACCAGCCAGCATCGGCCGAGTGGCAGGAGCTGTTATCGTGAGGCTCACAGCCCATTCCACAAGAGGAGAGTGACCACGGGTCCCTCGGCTCGGCTCGTGAGACCCCAGCCCAGGCCTGCCTGCCTTCCGAACATGAAACCTTTTCTCTAAAACTTCTTGCCTCAAGGGCCCTATGGATTCTGTCCACGCTTCTTCCTGTACACTACAATCAGTAGTGACATATGGTTTTAATTTAAAAAGAAAGAAAAAAGAAAACTGGAGAAAAATAAATAATACAGATTAGATTACGAGGACGAATTAAGAGCAGGGAAGCAATGAATGATTAATGAATGTGGGTCACTGCTGGAGGGTGTGTGGCAGGCCCCGGTGCTACCCCCTCCCGGGCGCCCTTGAGCCAGCCTGTTTAACTCCAGCTTCTTAATCCACAAAATGGTCATCACGCCTGCCCCGCAGCCTGGGTGGGAGCCAAATTAAAGAGTCCGTGCAAAGTGCCTCCACGCGGTAGGACGGGCACTCAGTGCAGATGACAGGGAGCTCCCCGCACCAGCACCTATTCTGGACCAGGACCTGTCTGTCCCAAATGCTTCCCCACCATTCACTCACTACCCCTCACGGCAACCCACCGAGGCAGCAACTGAGCACAGAGAGGGGAGGCGACTGTCCAAGGCCCGACCACCGGTGCGACCGCGAAGTGGCCAAGCTGAGACAAACCTCACGATTATCATCCGCTCGTAGGAAGCGGGTCTCTACCGTGTGACCCCTGAGGCCCGTGGGCATTGGGCGACTTGCTCTGTCACCCAATGCTTCTGCCCCGACCCTGTAGAGAGACAGAGACTGGAGGACTCACTTTACGGAGGATGAGGTGGGAGATGGACGCATTGGCATCAATGATGATGGTGGACACCTTGTCATCGCGGATCTCCTTGAGCAGCGGCGTGGGGTCCCGGCTGTCATCCAGCATCCTCACTGACAGCGTCTCCTTGGAGATGAGGAAGCCACGCACTAGCTCCTCCAACCGCAAGAGGCCTGGGGGAGCAGGAGGGCCCGGGTTAGGGTCCCTGTAAGTGTCCCAGGGTGACTTCCTCCTCCTCCAGTGTAGGGGAACCCAGGAGGGAACGAGGGCTGTACTGACCAGAGCGTGGTTGGCTCTCTTGGGATACTGGGCCTGTGGACCCTGTGCTCGACCTCCACACACCTGTCCCCTGCCACCTTTCCGCCGCTGGGACGTGTGACGGGGATCTCAAACTTCACTCACACAAGCCACATTTCCACTCCTCTCACCCAAGCCACCACCTGCCTGCCAGCCACTCAGGCCCAAACCCGGACAGCAGCCCGGCCTCCTCCCTCCCTCTCCCTCTCTCCCCCTCTCCCTCTCTTTCTCTCTCCCAGCTGCGCCCAACCCACCCAGGCTCTATCTGCAGAGTGCAGCAGACCCCACGTGCCGCACCACCGCCACCACCCTGGCCTAAGCCACTGCCTTCCCTCACCTGTTATGACAGCCACACTTGTCCCCACGTCCGTCCCCGTCACAGCAGCCACAAGCACGTAGAGCAGATGTGTGCCTCCTCTGCCCCAAACCCTCTAACAGCTCTGGCCCATTGAGAGTGGAGGCCCGCATCCTCACAGCCCCTGGGCCCCACTCCACCCACCCACCCCTTGCCATCCCCTTGACCTGTCTCGCACATGCCACGGCCACGCTCCTGCCCTGTGGCCTTTACACTAGCTGTTCCCTCTTCTCCCTGGACCTCCATGCGGCTCCCTCCCTCTCCACCTTCAGATCTCTTACCCAAACATCACCACCTCGAGGAGGTGATCACCATCCCATCTCGAATGGGAGGACTTACTACTTCCTAGCTTCTCCCACAAGACAGCAGGCCTGACAAGGACAGGGGTTCTGGCCTGGCTCGCACACGCACCGCTCTAGCCCCAGGACCCAGAACAAGGTCTGGGCCGTTGCAGGTGTTCAGTAAATACCTTTTGAAAGACGAGTTTCTCCTGGAAGTTACTGAGCACGGCCCTCTCTCTTTTTCCAGCTGTGCACCCCACCCACAAACCCACCGGCCTTCCGGACATCTCCACTCGATGGTCTCCGAGACGCCTCGACCCCAACTGTACCTCCACCTGACCGTTCTGTCCTCCTCCTCCTCCTCCTCAGGCGGAACCCAGTCACCACGGCGACGGCGCCCTCTCCCTTCCCTCGTGGCTCCTCAAACCCATCCTGGCCTCTCCGGCCACCACCACCAGATACCTAACCAGTGCCCCTTCTCTCTGCCCGTCTCTGGCCTCCCGGCCATAGCTCGTGGCATTCTCCAGTCAGTTCTCTCTGCTGCAGCCAGCGCTCTTCCTGCGACACACACCCGGCCTGTCCCCTGCCCCGCCCTGCGTGGGAACCTTGCACCACCGCCATCATCTTCGGGCAGAGGTGCGGGGCCCTGCGTGGTCATGCTTCCTGCACGCGCTGCTCCCCTGTTCCCACACTGCACACCGGGCTCCCTGGAAGCATCCTTGAGCCTCTCAAAGCGGCCACGTTCCCTGGGCCCTCGGCCCCCGCCCTGCCACACCCTCCCCTCTTCCTGACCCCAACTCCTCCCCAACCTTCAGGTCCAGCTTAGAGGCCCCTTTCTCGGGGACACGGGATCTGAACTTTCAGACCCGGGTAGGATTCCCTTCTACGTGCTCCGACGGCACCCCGCCTGCCCGCTGACAGAGTATGGGTCACTCTGCATTACAACCGCTCGGCCACAGCATCCCCCACGGACCCTGGAGTCCAATCCGGGACCACACCTAGTGCGGAACCGCCAGGGCCTCGCAGGGGCCTGGCACATAGGTGCTAGTTACTATCTGCTGACTAAATGGTCTCTCGGGGGAGGTGGGGGGGTCTGGGTTCCTGACGGGGAAGGATGGTGGGGACCAGGGGAGCCTGTGCCGTGCGGGAGACCAGATCTCTTGGGCAGGGGAGTTTGGGGGAATAAAAACAAGACACCCAGTTCTCCCTCACACTCGGCCTTGGCGCAGATGAGGCTGGCCGAGGGGTAGTTGAAGGACTTGAGGATTCGGGAGACGGCCAAGCTGACGTCCTCGTTACTGGGGTACAGGCTGACGGACGCGAAGCGCAGGTACTGCAGGCGGGGTGTCTCCTCGGGACCCACCTTGATGTGGGGGATCTGGACAAAGAAGGAGGCTTTGCTTCTATCCTGCGGCCTCCTCCCCAGCCTCGCCTCCCAGGGACCCACCCCTGCCCTGTCCCACACTCTGCTCACCTCCTTCTCTCCACAGATATGGCTCACGGTGGAAGCAGACGCAGGGCTGGACGAGGGCCCCAGGACGGACACGACCCCCTTGGGCAGGATCTGACACACTGCGAGGGGTGGGAAGAGACCGCAGTCAGGGACCTTCCTCTCCGTCCCCACCTGGCCCGGGAGCACATCCGATCCTTGGAGCTGCCCGGTCCCCCTTGGCCGCCCCAGACCCAGAGGACCAATCCCCGGTCCCACCCACTGCAGTGGACAAGACAGAGACAAATGGGGAGAAATGGCAAGAGGGATGGGTTAGACCATGAGAGAAACAAAGAAAGAACAAAGAGGAAAAACCAGGGACCTCCTGGCTGCAAAGCTAACGCCCGGCTCCTCAGCCTCTGTCTCACTCCTCCTTTCCAACAACGCCTCACAGCCCCTCCACCCCACAACCACAGCGAGGGCCCCTCTCCACCCCACATCCCAAACACCGCTCTCCTGTGGCTTTCATTTGCTCCTCTTTCTTCTGTGTTGTTTTGTTTTTTTTTTCCTTTTTTCCCCTTGAACTTGCACGTGTCTCAAAGACTGGGAGGCAGAAGCTGTTTTTTCTGCCTGCCCGGTGCCCATTCTCATGGCAAAACCCTAACTTCTCCTCAGGGAACCATATGTTTCCCAGGACTGGCGGGCACCCAAGCCAGGATCACAGAACCACACTGTCCTGGCCACAGTGATTGGCTCAGAGATGGGGACGGGCTCAAAGCAGGCCATCGAGAGCCTTCCCCAGGTTTCTGCTACAATTATTACGTAGTTTGCTAAACAGGTAAGATGTAAGCTTTGAGCTACTGGGGCCGTCTTGCCACCAGTTAGGGAGGGTATTCCTGAAAATGAACCCAACTTAGAGGAAAACAGGACCCACGGATGAAGACAGAGAGCTTCCTGGGACATGATATGAGCGCCTGGATCTAACCATGCCTGAAATAGTCCTGGGACATCATTTGAGTACCTGGATTTAGCCATGCCTGAAATTAGTCCTTAGGCCTTTTCGTATTATAAGCTGATAAATTCTCTTTTTCCCTTAAGGCAGACTGAGTGGGTTTCTGCCACATCCAACTAAAAGCATCCTAACTAAATGCCTTACCTTCCTCTAAACTTGATTCTTCTGTGTCTTCCACATTACTGAAGGCCCCGTTTGTGCAGACCAAATATCTAGAAACAATCCTTGCCTTTAATCCTTCTCTCAATAGACAAATTAGTCACCAAGTCCTGTCTCTTTTGTCCTCAAATTTTCTGATATCTTTCCCCTGCTCTCCCCTGCCCTACTTTTTAGGGCTCTCAACTCAGGCATGCCAACTCAGGCATGATCACCCAAATCTAGCCTCCAGATTCACCTTCCAGAAGCCCGTTCCCTGACCTAAACCCACTGGTGGCTCCCTTCTGCCTACAGGTGAAGGTGACATCTTTTAGCCTGCCACTGTCGCCTCTTTGAACTGGCCCGCCATTCTGCCCAGCCTCACCTCCCACTGCTGTCACACTTCAGCCCCCAAAGTCTCTCATGATCTCACCAAGCATGTCCTGAGTCCAGGTAGCCAGGACAGGTTCAACCCCACACCCTGTTCTTTGGCTCCATATATCCCCCTCCTCTGCTCCAGCTCCAGACTATAGCATATGCCTGGAACACCATTTACCTCCTCACCCTCCATCCCAGTTTCTCCCAGTTTGTGTTCTGTGCTGCGCCAGTCAGAAAAGTACAAGAAACACTGTACCCCATTCTCCCTCTCGCTAATATGAAACACACGTGAATATAACAAAGACTCTGATGAGGCCTGTAAGAAAGAAAACCAATCTAAAACACATTGAAGACAGCATTTCCTGAGGTATACGACCCCAACACATTTGTTCAAGAGATACCCATTAACATTTGCTCAGTCTGTCAGTATCCGACAAATACTTATACACCCCTACTACGTGGCTGCTGTTCTACAGGGCATACTTTGAGCAATGCCACTTTTTCTATATCCTGCTTGCCTTTCAGACCTCAGAACTTTGGTTTAGCCTTCTCCAGAATGCCTTCACTGTTCCTGCCCCTGAGGCTCCCTGGCCTCACTGTCCAGGCCCCTCATTACTCAGCTCTGGGCACTGTGTCCCCAGCCAGCCATGAGTTTATCTTTCAAATGAGGCTCTCAGCTCTTACAAGGCAGGACCGGGGCTGGCACCCTCCCTACCTCCCCATGCTCGGCAGCACCATCTCTGGAAAGGAAAAAGCAGAGCAGACATGAAAGAAGGGGCAGGTGGAGCTAGAAAGAGACAAAGCAAGCAAGCTGAGGAGGCCAGGAGCTGAGGGACAGACCGAGGGCTACCAGCCTGCCCTGCCTCACCCCACGCCCCCTGTGGCCCTGCTCACTGGTGTCCGTGGTCTCGTACTGGCTGTCCCGCTGAAGCTCAAAGATGTCTACTTCCACCCGGGCCTTGGCTGGGACTTCGATGATCCCGTTGATCTGCTCCCGGGCCAGAGCCAGGGCCAGACGTTCACCGCGGCCACACACTGTCTGGTCGTCCAGGATTGCAGCTGAGGGGACACGGGGGTTGGGAACCAGACTCCTGGGTCCTGAGAAAGGAGAGGCTGGGGTCCTGGACTCCTGGTCTCTAAGGTAGGGGTGGGGATGCTGATATGGGTCTAGACTCCTGAATCTAAGGTTGGACACAGCTGGAGAACTGGACTGCTGGGTCCGGGTGGGGGGAGAAGGCACTGGGGGCTGCTGTTCCCTGTTGCTGAGGAAAGCTGAGACCTGAAGCCCAGATTCCCCGGGTCCTGAGGGATGGGCAGGCTTGGGAGGGTCTCTGCAGAGGCGGGGCAGGGGCTGTAGGGCCTCACCCATGCGCAGTGATGAGAGCACCTGGCAGCTGGGGCTGGCGAAGGCAACAATCAGCAGCAGCAGCAGCTCAGCCGGCATCTTCCTCCCCTCCTCATGGGGACGCAGCTGCCGCGGCCCCCACTCGCCACCTGCAGGGAGCCCCCCACCCATGGGGAGATTGCTGAGGTGGGGGCCTCAGAGCCCTTTGGAGGACTGCTAGATGGGGTGGTGACCGGAGACCCCGGGACATTGTGAGTGAGCGCTGAAAGGCCCTGCCCTTGTCAGAAGCTGACAACACCGAAGGCATTGATACGAAGGAAGCTCAGGCTCTGAGGAGCACTACCGGGGAGGAGCTCACGGCACTGAGTGGGACAGGCATGGCTAGAGGACATTCATAGCTACCAAAATGGGAGGGATCTCAAGTAAGAGCAAATTCCAGGGACCATCCCCACCCCAGTAGGAAACCAGGAAGTGCCACCCCCCACCCAGTCCCACCCCTGTCTCTGGGCAGGCAGTGGTTGCTAGGCAACAGAAACTGGCTGGAGAGGATGCGGTGGTTGCTAGGCAACCCCATCCCAGGCCTCACTTGCCACTTTCCTGACGTCCCTGGTTCCCACAATCCCGTGGGGAGAGTGGCCTGGACATCCGGGGTCTGGAGGGGAGAGTATCCGGGAGTTAAGGAAACTTGAGGAGAGAGGGAATGATGGAGAGAGACAGAGACACACGTGGAGACACACAGACGGAGACAGATGGATGGACCCGAGGCAGCTAAGGAGCTAAAAAAAAAAAGAAAGAAAGAAAGAAAAAAAGTAAAGAAAGAGAAGACAGAAACAGGGAGACAGAAATAGGAAGAGAGGCTTAGAGAAAGAAAATACAAAGACACCCAGGAAAGGAGAAAGAGAAAAAACAGACAAAAATACAAGGGAACAAGAAGATAAGAAGACAGGGGGAACAGAGATGAAGAGGACAAAGGAGTTTCTGGGTAGGGAAGGACAGGACTAGGAGCAAGGAGAAGGATGAGGCAGGAAGGCAGGGAGCCATGGAGACGGAGGAAGGTCAGGGTGGGGAGAGGAGCATAGGGCAGGCAGCAGAGAGGGAAATCAAGGCATAAGAGAGACACAGAATAGAACAGGAAATAGAACGGAGAGAGGACACAAGCCCACTTGAGATGCCACCAGAGAGAGCTGGGAGGGAAGAGTAAGGCAGGGAGTCTGCTGTCTGCCAAAGCAGGTGCCAGACTACAGCCCCCCACCCTGCTCAGGGGAGCTGAGGACTAGGGGGAGACAATGCATCTTTGCTTCCCAGAACGGCTCCAACCCCAGTGCGTTAGAGTCCTCCGGGTACCCCAGCCTTCTATGGGGCAACCCCCAGGCAGGGATGAGTTTGGCTGGATGCACGGCTTCTCCTGGCCGAGAGCCGTGCCCCAAGAGAAGGGGCGTTGGGCTTCCAGGAGAGAGCATTACTGTGAGGCCCAGAGTGCTGTGAGGTGAGCCTAGGGGCCTCGTTGCACCCCACCTGATCCCCATGGATGGAGGGCTTAAGGTAGTGAGACAGCAGAATGAAACCTGCCAGGGGAGGGTAGAGGCACAGTGCAAGATTTTGGACCATCCTTCTGGCCAGGAAAACCTAGGCCATGGCAGCAGGAGACCCAACAGTCTCTGCTCTGCCCCTGACTCCCACATGACCTTGAGCAGCTCCCTCTCTCAGGGCCTCTGGGAAAGGCAGGCTGAGGGGTGGGAGGGCATCATGGACAGGCTGGGGGCTGCAGATGGTAATCCGGATCTACAGTGAAGACTTCAAGGGTGGAGGAGCAAGGGAAGTTGGGGGACCAGGAAGAACTCTCAGGGGGAGGATTGTGGAGGGCGGGGCTTGGAGAGAGGCAAGAGTTGAAGGGGGGTCATCCCGAGACATCAGGGGCTTCTGGGGACAAACCAGGGAACAGAGACTAGAGGACAGGGAAGATGGAGGGAGAGACAGGGACCAGAGGGCAGGGTCCCACAGGTGGCAGACATGGGTGGGAGCAGAAACACAGAGTGTAGGGCCAGGGTCTGGGACAGCACATGGACAAAGACATACAGGAAGGCCCAGACAGAAAGACAGACAGACCGAAAAGAGGTACCTGGGGCTAAATGAGAGAGAAGGACCCACACAGGTCGCCTAGAAGTGAGACACCAAAGGAAACGGAGACAAGACAGCGCGAGGTAGCAGAGGCAGGGAATCGGGCAGGCCTGAGCCCCACAGGCCCAGACACTTAGGCAAAGCCAAATAAAGGTGGAAGCATAGCAGCCAACCAGGCAGAAGGAGCCGAGTGAGGGGCCCTGCCAGGGGAGGCAGACAGACAGGAAGGCAAGACATCACCAAGGTGAGAAGGCAAATCGGTGAGACAAGTGGGGTGAGGGAGAGGGCAAAAACACAAGAACACAACAGGTGCAAAGACTGCAGGAAGGGGGAAAATCCGCAAAACTCTGCAAAGGAAGAGAGCTAGTTGGAAAGAGAGCCGGAGAAAATGTATGCAGGAGCCACACAGCAGATCTAGAGAAGAGGGAGGGGCGAGTGGGGCAGACACACACTAGAAGGGGCAGTGAGGGCCAGGGAGGGAAACGGAGGCAGGGAGAAAGAGCGAGGGGCACAGGCAGGGACAGGGTGAGTGCCCACATAAGGGGGCCAGTCCACACAGAGATGCACCCACCAGGGTGTCTTGAGGAGGTGGTCAATCCCAGAGCCCACAAGCCCCGAGGCATGGGGAGGGATGAGGACAAAAAGGCCAGGCCAGGATGTAGAAGTGAGCAGAGGATGGGGGGTGAGTGAGACCACCAAGGAAAAGACAAAGTAAACCACAGAGTGGCTGCGGCTGAGGAGAAAGGAGCCGGACCCAGAGTGGATCTGGGGGAGGAAAGCAGAAAAGTGAACAGGAAGACAGGCTCCAAGTGCAGGGGCAGAGGAGGACAGGGGAGCAGGGGCACAGGCAGAGCAAAGCGTGGATGGAGACAAGTGGATAGAGGGCCAAACCTGTGGGTGCTTCCAAAAGAGCCAGACGAGATGCAGGGGAGTTTTGAAAAAGGGAGAGAGAGAGAGAGAGAGAGAGAGAGAGAGA